CAGAGGGATGACCAAGAGCTAGCTCTTGGCTGCTATGGACAGATGAGAAGAGTATTTGATACACAGATTGAGCAATTGAGCAATTGAGCGATCCACTCAAATGTATTATAAGTCATATCATAAATCATATACCACACTTTTTATCCTACTTTTTACCCTAACAACATGAACTAGGGAAATCTCACTTTAATTTACTCCTCTACAGAAAATTTACTTTGGATATTCAGCTCAATAAACTACACCTGAAAATTTGAGACTATTCTGGGAAACTTGGTCAGTATTGAAAATATAGTGACAATGAACCCTTGAATCAGAAGAATTAGGAACATTAAGGGTCTGTTGTGATTTTTTACTATTATTTCAGTGGCTTGGATAAAAGAAGTAGGAAGTAAATGTTATATGGGTAGGATTGGATTCCACATCATAGGAGAATGATGAAGAGTGCTCCAGGATGAGTAGCAAATACTTTGAGAAATTTTAACTCAGACATCCACATAACCAAATTCTAACCTATTACTCTTTTGTACACTTGTACTCTTGGCAGTCAGGTTGCATTTTCCGATCTGAGCATATTACTAATGCTAAATACCCTCCCACGCACACCTATTTTTATAGAATTCTAACAGAAAACCTCTTCTTTTATGTATTTATAAATACATGTTCCCATAAATATGTATGACTATGCTCACATATCTACAATGTTTGTAAGTATACATATGTGTTTATTTAGATAACCTTGCCAAAGGATTATAGGAAGAATTGGTCCAAGGATAAAAAGATAGGGATCTTTGGCTCTAGTTCTGCCACCATCCTCAAACACCCTTTCATTGGATAATCTGCTTGTCTATAAAATGGAATCTTTAAATGATGTGATTCTTTTGATACTTTACTAGTCTAAAATGTTAAATAGCTACCTGGGACAAATGGGTCAGGTACATCTCCCCTCCTACCAGAACTCCACTTTGCTCTTCTTAAGAGAAATTACCTTAATGTTTTAAATGAACCACCGAAAACTGTAGCGTTTCACAAGCTATTCTCTCATGAATGTGCCTGTCTTTCTAGATTTTAATTCTGGGAACAATTTATCTTCAATTTCTCATTTTCTTCTACCATTGTAATACAGAATAAATGGAGATATCAAAAATAACTTATTTGTAGGTCTGTTTTGCCAAACACACCCAGACTGATTTCTGTGCTGTTTTATATTGATGAGTTACGGCTTTGTCACACAAATAAATATTTGTAGTACACTGGGACACATGGATGCTATGACAATGGGGACAAGCATTGACTCTAGTTCTGGCTTCACTTTTCTCATTCAATAAACACAATCTGGCACCTCTTCAATGATAAATATGGGAGGTCACAGAATCAACCAACCTCTGCATGTCTCATGGAGACTAGACTCTCCTTCATGAATGTGGTGGAGAAGGCAGATTGTGAATTCATTATGTTGCAAAACAATTATTTGAAGATATAGTTGGAGGCATTATGTGGAGAGTTGAGGAAAGGCTTCCCTCATACAAACTAGAATCATGGCCTCATGCAGATTTTACCTCTTGCTCCTAAATTGTCTCATCTCACCAAGACTTGTTCATTCTATCACATAATAGAAATGTTGAAACAGAATTTGCCGCATGTTCTGTTGTGACTGTTAATGACTTCATATTTGCTCAGATCCCTTATGAGTTTGTAAGTTCTTCTAATCACTCTATCTTTTCCTTTTTTGTCAATGAATATTTATTAAGCCAAGAATTATATCACTGAGATTCAGAGATAAAATCAACTCTGTTCTCAAGCAGCTAAGGTCATGTTGGGGAGACAAGGAACAATTTCAGATAACATTGTTAAGTAATGGTTAGTATGACAAGGGCAATATCCATGGAGTTCTGGAGCTGCTGAGATGCTTGGAGCTAGTTTCCTTTGTATGTCTTAAAAAATGACTACTTAAACAATAAGGAAGAGAGCAAGTGAAGGAGAGGGTGGTTGTCTATGTTCTTCACATCTATGCATACCTGGGCAGATGGTTCTATAAATGTAGGAGATGGTCACATGCCATGTGCTAGACTGAATGATTAAGAATTGGAACTGCAGACTATAGGGAGTTATGGTGAAGAGTATTTTAAAGAGGGAGTAGACCTCATTACACCACTAGACTTTCAGTGGTTGGAGCAGTAAAAATAGGATTGTAGGGTGCGTGATTGTGACTCACACCTATTACCCTAGTTACTCAGGAGAGTGAGATCTAAGGATATCTATTTGGAATTAGTATGACCACAATCATTTGTGAGACTCTTAACTCCAATTAATCAGCACAAATGTAGAAGTGGAAGTAGAAGTGTGACCCAAGTGGTAGAGCACCAATCTTGAGTGGAGAAAAAGAAACAACAAGCAAACAAATAAAATAATGAGGCCTAGGTTCAACACACACACACACACAAAACCCAATAGGATTGTAAATTGTGAAGAAAGGCTTAGAATGTGTTTGAATTTGAGATCTGGGAATCAGCAAGGATCTTCTTCAGGAGTCTAAGTGAGACATATTGAAAGGATTAAGACTAGAGCAAAAATTTAAGGTGATGGGGGAAGAACGGCAGTAGAAATGTGAAATTTTAGATCTACTGGATACCATAACCAGATGTGAGGACTGTGAGGAGGAGCATCAGAAGATTTTCACATTGTGTATAACTAGAACAACTCGTAGCTGGAGATTTTGGTATCTGGGATGGACATTTGATGAGATGGACCAGACTGGAGATAATGGTAATGGGTTCTTGTGGATCATCTCTATGGAATTGTGTAGAAAGAAGTGGAATAGAGGGGGCTGAAGCACAAAAAGGGCTGTGACCTAGGGGTAAGCATTTAATAAACAACATTCAATATTCAATGGGAGCAACAAGTGAATGAATAAAAGCTACTATGGAGTAGCAAAAGGTCCCCAGAAAATCTATTGCAGTCATATTTATAGAGTGTGCTGGAGTATCTTGTGTGTGTAAAAGCATACATCGGTATGTGTTTGCAAAATATCACTGATAGGTTGGCTGAAAAAATCAAAAACTTATTTTTCAGTTCTGGAAGGTGGAAATTCAATCCAGAATCTATATGAAGTCAGTATTGGTTTTTAGTGAGCCCTTGTTTTCCTGGCTTGTAAATAGGAACTTCACAGGAACTTTTCTTTCTTCTGTGCTAGGCCAGAAAACAGAGGGAGAGGGAAACAGAGAGGGAGAGAGAATGAGGGAGAAAGATGGAGATTGTCTTATAAGGACGTCAATCCTATCTGAGTGGACTCTACCTCATGTCCTCATTGGGCCTATATGACATCTTTAAAGGTCTGTCTTTAGACACAGTCACATGGGTAGGGAGAGCTTAGGCTTCAAAGCATAAACTCTAGGGGAACAAAATTCACTGTAACATCAGTGCATTTGGTTTCAAACAGACTTTTCCTGGGGAGGGAAATAGACTTTTCTGTCTATCACACACTTTGCTGTTCTTCTAAAAGATCAGAGAGCTAGAGTTTGTTCATTGGTAAAATAAATCATATTCTTTTTCTCTCTTTTTATTTTTTGGTCAGTGATGGGGCTTGAACTCTTGGCTTGTGCACTGTTCCTTTGCTCTTCAGCTCAAGGCGAGCATTCTACAGTGTGAGCCACAGCACCACGTCCGGTTTTCTAGTGGTTTATTGGAGAGAAGAGTCTCATGGACTTTCCTGCCCAGGCTGGCTTTGAACCGTGATCCTCAGATCTCAGCCTCTTGAGTAGCTAGGATTTCAGGCCTGAGCCACCAGCGCCCGGCTAAGTCATCTTTTTTCTACAATTGTATCAATGAATATTTATGTGTGTACAGATTTTCTTCCTCCTTTTGGGCAGGGTTAAAAGCTACTTGCAAAGAAATAGGACTTCTATTGACTTCTACTGCGGTATGGAACACAGCGGAAGAAAAAGCCAGAAAGGTACACAACCCACAAAAATGCATGCCATGAAGTTATAAATTCAAAGAGGAGGTTTGCTTGTGTGTGTGTGTGTGGGGGGGGAGGGATACGGTGCATTCTTTGGCATGTACACACTTGCAATCACGTTCACTTTCACCTATGGCTATTTTGGAATGTAGGAACTGATCCTTTATTTTCCGCTCTGTTTTCCCTCTTTGTACACGTGGCCTTCTTTAGATAGGATTGTAGGGTCTGGGTTGATGCTCTTGAAGGAAAAAAAAAAAAGTTGCTGGGAATTGAGAAACCCTAGCCCTGGAGGAGGCCAGGTGATGGGTGTCAGCAGCAGGGTGGGGACCCGCGGACTCCGAGGGCGCGGAATCGTTGACATACCATTCCCCTCCCACCCGCCTCGCACCCGGGCGGAGGGGGGCGGAGAGGTCTGCAAACTTCGCTCCAATCCGCAACCGGCCCTCCCCAGGGTCCCCCTGCCGGGCGACCCGCCCACCGGCTCTCGGAGTTGGGTGAGGGGGAACTTTGCAAAGCAACTCCTCTGAGCCTGGGAAGGCAAAGTGCTCCCCCCCACCCCAGCATTCAACCCCCTCCCAAGCATCCCCCCCCTCCCCATCTCTTGCTCCCGCCTCTGGTCCTGGCCCAGCCGCGATCGGCGGTGATAGGACGAGCCCGGGGCGTGCAGGGTGTAGACGCAAACCAGTGTCCCGGCTCCCCAGGGCTGCCTCACCCCGGGGCCCGGGCAGCGGTGGTGGTTGGCGCTGCCGTGGGTCTCGAGAGCGCGGCCATGCTCCCGCCGTGGCGCGGGCGGCGGCGTCCCGGAGCGGCTGTCTCGTAAAGCACGAAGGCGGAGAGCAGGGAGGGGGAGGTGGCACCCGGAGGGGCTGAAGATGAAGGTGCCCGCGCATGGGCCGCCGCTGATTGCCCACCCCTCCCCAGCTCGCGCCCGGCGCGGAGCCCCAGGCCGCGGAGGACCCGCCTCCGCCGCAGTAGCAGCCGGAGCCGCGACGCGGGCGGCGGCGCAGGCGGCGGCGCCCCTCGCGCCCGCGCGGCCCCAGCTGCCATGAGTTGTGCGGAGGTGATGTATCACCCCCAGCCGCATGGAGCGCCCCAGTATCTGCCCAACCCCGTGGCAGCTGCAACCTGCCCCACAGCCTGCTATCATCCGGCTCCCCAACCTGGCCAGCAGGTGAGTCACCGACCGGGCAGCCGGCCGGGGGCGGGGGCCGAGGGCACCGGGAGTATCGGTCTGGGGCTCCGGCGGTGGCGACGACCGTCCCCGCCGGGATGGGTGGCGCAGACCATGCCCCGGGACCTGCGGGAGCGCCCGTGAGCGCGGACCGCCCGCGGAGGAGAGGCGCGGGGGCTGCGGGCAGCGCGGGGCGGGTGGGGAGTCTTGGAGAGACCGTACCTGCCGGAGGGAGGGGGCCGCGGCGGAGCTGCGCGCACCCCAGCTCCCGGGCGGCTGGCCTTTAGTCACCCCGGCTGTCAGGACTAGGTCTCTGAAGCTCACCCAGGGGCATCTGTTTTAGGACCATGTGAGTAAACTTCCTTTCCAAGCAAATGTTTTCTTTCTTTGGAATGCTGAGAGAGTTCCAGGGCTTTCTGGATTGAAGAGGAGGAAGTGTGTGCGGCCGAGGTGGCCCAGGCTACCTGACCAGTGAGCTCACAGGGTTGACCTTTCCGAGACGTGTAGGGTGGGACAGCGCGTCTGATGTAATCTATAGCAGAAGGTTTCCAGAACTTCTTTTATGGCTGTGGTTTAGAGGCACGGGGGATGCCGGGGCTCTTCATTCATTTCCTCACCCCACCAAAAGACAGTGTTCAGGCTGTGGATCCCATTCAAGAGGTAACCTTGAATCTCTGAATTGTGGGGGCGCCGCCATGCCAGGGGACTGAAAATGTTGTCCGTAAAAACGGATCTGGGGCTAGGTAGGAGATGATGGAGTTACTTTGGAAAGGGCGAGTAAGACTCCAGAAAACTAAAAAACAAGTGCCCTGGGATATTACGGCGGACACAGAGCAAGTGCACCAAAGTTTAGTTAGCCCTGTAATTATATATATATATATATATATATATGCATATATATATTAAAGTATGTTTATGGCAAGGGGCTGTTATGTGCCAAATAGTCTTCCTCAGACTGTGGTGATTAGTGGGTGTTGATTTCATGAAACAACAATAAAAGTAATAATACAACTAGACACACTGAGAAAATTATGATGCACAGAATTGATTGGTTATTCATTTCGTCAGAACTATGTTTTATTTAAACCCTAAGGGTTTGGCCTTGGAATTAACTAGATCTTTGAATCTGGACATTTTCTCAGTCTCTTTCCCTGTGCTTACACGTGTGGTATTACTTTTTGGAAATAACAACCAAAAAAAGTAGGTTTGCTTAAAATGTATTTGGTTGTAAAATTCAGCTGATTCTGAAAGGGTACAGCTAACTTAACTGAGGACCACTGAGAGCACGTAGAGGAAGGAGTCCTACTTTCTTGTGATGATTTATTCATTGATTGTAATATCTAGCAGTTTTATTATTTCAAAGCAAAGTGACTTCTGAGGAGAAGGATAGAAAAGTATTTTGTGATTATGGTCAGTGGAAACAGATAAAAACATTTTGTATAGTTGTTTGCTTTTCTTTGGCATATACCAAATATAAGTAATGAAGAAAGCCACATCAGTTTAATTCAGGCAAGTAAGGCAAAGAAACTGCCGGTATGAGTATTTCTCAGGACTGGATAAAGTATTCTTTCCTTCTTCTCTGATACCTTAGAAGCCTTCAAAATTACCAGTTGGAATGTGGATGAGAATAGGCTCTAAATGTTAAGAAGGATACTTTCCTGTCTTTAAAACAAACAAAAACTAGTAGGAATAAGGTGGCTTATTTGAAAATCTGTGAAATGAGGTTCATAAAAATACCCATCTATTATTTACATTAGTATTGTAATTTTAGCTGAAATTATAATTTCATATAAAAATTATGAATGTCCCATCATAACTTCATTTTCAGTAAGAAATGCCTGCATATACTTAATCTTAGTTTTGCAATAGTACTTAGTCTCAGCCCCCAAATTCCATTCTTTTGCTAAATCCATCAACAAGCTGCAGAATGAACTACAAAAAAAAAAGAAAGAAAGAAAGAAAGAAAAGAAAAGCCTGAATTGTCTACATGGCTCTGTTGCCCAATGATCAACTTTTGCTATATTTGCGCTTCTGTAAACAGCACTTAAGGAGATGTTTGGCTGCGTACAAGGGTAGAGTTGAGAGATGTGTTTGGAAATTTTCGTGTTACTTTCACTAAATTGACTTATTCAAGATTTCTTTCTGTTTTTTCCTTGTGAGGAAACTGTTTGACTACTAGTGGTCAGTAAAATGAACAGAGACTTGACAGTAACTACTGTTCTTTTTACTGTTAGGAGTTTATTTTGATGACCTATATTTTCTCTTTGGAGAAAACAGTAAATCAGGAATTCTTATCAGGCTGACAACATTTTTAGACTATGCAGTGTGTGGGTGAAGTGGGACTAATATTGACTTGGCCCTAATGCAGTCATCTGAGAATACATATTTTGGTTGTTTTTGCATTCCATAAGGTTTTATCATTATTATCCATGAAGATTGTTTTCTCCGTACATGGGAAGTGACCCCTAATAGCATCTTGCCTGGGAGTCAAAAATAAGGGATGTAATTCCTACTGCATTTGAAAAACTGATTTGTTAAGGAGAGAGAAATGAAAAAACAACAGAAATAGTGGGAGAATAGTCAACCAAATTTAAAGTATATTTATAAAATAAATGCAAGAAAAGAGAGTACTATAGTTTTGTACAACTTCTACATTTATTTTTGGTAATATATCCTTCCTTTGATTTTTTCCCCATCTATAGCTCTGAAGTCTTTTGTATGCTTTCTTTTGTGTTTTACAGTGCAGAGGATCAAACTCAGGGTCCCACACATGCCAGGCAGACATTTGCCACTGGGCTCCATCCCCAGCCCTCTATTCCTTATAAGTCAGTGTGTCAAAATTGGTTCATGATGGAATTTAACCATAGGCCTATTTCTCTCTCATAACATGATCATACATGAAATTCTCCTTTGAAATGACATAATCTCATTTTCTACAAAGTTGAAAAGTGAAACTTTTCAATTCAGGTTTTTAATTAAAAATATTATGTGTTGTTATAGGTGAGTAGTAAGCAAATATTTACAAACATAGTAACCTCAGCTATATAAGCTCTAGTGTGTTAGTTAGGCATAGAGTTGGTTAAATGAATAAAAGCAATCTGTAAATACCTGAGTAGCAAATTATGTAGTCCCTGATAATTAACTCCAAGAAATTGTGTGGCCGTGCACAACATAACTGCGTGTTTTATAGAGCCAGGGATTTGTGAGGGATGGTGAGTAACCTAGGCTCGCCTGCATCCACCAGTCCACTTGGTACTGAGCATCTCAGCACATACTCTGAAGGCTGATGCCACTGCTGAACATGTACAGAAAAGTGTTCATATCATGCACTGGTGGCTCATGCCTGAAGTCTTAATTACTCAGGAGGCTGAGATATGAGGAACACAGTTCAAAGCCAGACCAGGCAGGAAAGACCATGAGACTTATCTCATGAATCACTGAAAAACCAGAAGTGGAGCTGTGGCTCAATTGGTAGTACAGTAGCCTTGAGCAAAAATACTTAAGGACAGTGTAGTGCCCAGGCCCTGAGTTCAAACCCCAGAACTGGCACACACACACACACACACACACAAGCACGCACATGCACACACATAGTCACACACGCACAAATAGAGTTCATTTGTATGTGTACCACTGATGGTAAGAACCAGGAGAAAGTATTGAAATATGTGTCAGGAAAAATTGAGGGCCCTAATGTGACATCAAAGATTCCTTTTGTAACCAGTGAATGTCTCCTCTTACTCTGCTGTCAAAATAGTTCCTCATATTCATACTTTTAAAATCAGGAAGATATGTAAAGTCTCCTGAATGCTATAGTTTATATGTAAGATGACATGAGCAGAGAACAATTCCTAAATTCTATATATAGAAGTTATATATAGTAAAGTTTTCTTTACTTTTATTTTTAATAATCACACTTCAACCTTGATATAAGTTAGCACACATTTATGCTGTCCTGTTTGAGAGTAACAGCTGGCTCAATGCACATGCATGCTTTGACTTAAACAATTGGATTTCCCTGTGATGCAGCACTGCAGTTATAAAGTTTGGAAAATTTTCAAACTCTCTGTACTCTGCCACCTTGGTTAAATCATGAAACTTCTCTGAGTATTTGTATGTCATGGGAAAATTCTGGAAAAATTATACTTCAGTCTTTCCATCTACATCTGGCAAAATGAGTGTTCTTAGGGTCGACATAATGAAGATTTCAAAACTGATTGATGGCAAAATTAGGACCTCCAGGTCCCCAACTTCCCAGTGAACCAGGTGCAGAATCTTTCTACCATGCCAGGCAATCTCGCCGAAGGAATTTTTCTTTTTGGCTATTGCAAAATGGACTTATTTTTGTCTTTAGTGCCCCCAATCAACGTTTTTTTGATAAAGAAGATTAATATGAAGTAGATTCTTTGGCCTTGGAGTTTGAGATTCTTTCCAAGTCCTTGGTAGTGTACTTTTTTTTTTAATTGAGGCATTCCAAAGGCCTTTTGCAAGCATTTATATTATGCTAATGACTTTTGCTATCAATGTTGTATCTTTTGTTGATGAAGCAGAATATCCACTTAGTAAATGAACATTTATTTATTTATAAGAAAATACCAGAAGTGATATTGACACTCCCTTTTAAGTGCCACGTATTTTACTGTCTTTATAACGTAAAATTTAATTTCATCAAAGAAGTATAACACAAGTATAACACAAATTATTTTTAGCACACACATTATTTAAGCAGAGGATTTAATTTTTCTTGCAACCATAAAGGAGAACTTGTGTATTTCTAAGGATTGATACAGGACTTGTTTGACAAAGTGCAGTCCCTATAATTCCACAATACACAAATTAACTTGACTCCCAAGTCTTAAAAGCTTACACTCCTTCATAGGTGCAGGTCCCCAGTAACTTCTCAACCAAAAGATTTCAAAACTACAGGAAGTTAAACTTTAAAGTAACTGAAAATTGGCTCTCGCAGCCAAATAGAATAAGAATTACAACAGGACAGGACT